AGTACGAGGACTCGGAGTACGAGGGGTCGACGGACACGGAGATCGCGTGCGGCATGTCGTCCCTCTTGACCCAGACCTCCAACGAGAGTCACGACAATGTCGCGCAAAACTATTTACTACACGTGCGGTCCGGACACCACAAACGACTGGCCGGCTTTCAAGCCGAGTTCGTGTGCCTTAGCCCGGGAGTCGACAGCACGACGGCGCCTCCCTATCGGATCACATCCCTGTGTGTCAACTCATACGCCAACCTGTAATCAAACTAATCGTTACTATTTGTAGTCATTGTCTCTAAAGTGGTTTCTCTCCCGCACTCTCCCTAACCTTTTCGTAGCTATGATATAGTCTTATAGCTAACGTAATGTATAATTATTTTATGTTTGTTTTTAATTGTGTGATGTCTGTCCCCTCGACTATTAGGGTTGCCTACGGAACAGAAAATAGTCTCGTTATTATCGATACGATTCAAAAGTGTGCTGTACTTAACGTGTCGACCAGTAATTTATACGGTGAGCCACCAATTTAATACCATGCTTATATATTAATATATGTAATTTAATACCATTTTAATGCATAATATATTTATTATGAATAAGTTATGAAACATTTGGCTATTTTTTATAGACTACTAATAATGTCTATATGTTTTTGAGCTACAGGTGCGGCCGATCCCTACCAGAGGTCCATGAGAGGGGCCCCCAAGAAGACCACGTCAACGGGTATGCCGTCAAACAGGGATCCCATTGACGGCAGTCAGAGCGACGCCGATCGATGCAAGTCTCCCACCTCTGATCAGGTAATACACCCCCCGATCATTACGCGCCTACCATCTCATCTATTACTATATTATTATGACTATTATTACCCAAACGTATTCTCCACCTACCGGTGCAATAGTCGGCCACTTAATGCAAAATAACAGTATTTATGCCGTCATTAACCAAACAAAACATTTTTCATCCGATATTCACTCATAAATGCAATAATTTTTTTCACAAATAAATTGTTTTCATAAACTATACGATAGTGTGAGGAAAGCCGATCGCCCGACCCGTCCATACCCAGTAGTCCGTTGCTGCCATCACCGACACAGCCATTTGATCTCATGCTACCTCCGGTGCCGCCGCCGAGGCTTAAGCGAAGGAAAGCCTCGCCGGACACCGGGTCCGTCCAGAGCGTCGACACGTGCGATGAGTGTACGGCTGATGAGCCGGTAGTCCCCGCCGGCGGCGAGTCCGTTGAGATCAGTACCGATCACGCCGTAGTGAACTATAGTAAGAGCGAGTGCCCTGAGCAGCCCAGGGAGGCTACCAGTGCCGTCAATCCTACCGGTGCCGTCAATCTACCGGTGCCGTCAGGCCCACCGAATTGCATTTGCAATTAGCCGACAGGAAAGACAGCAAATTAGCCAAAGATAGCGCCAGTACTCCGTCGGTCGACAGCTCGTCCGACAGTCAATCGGTGCGGTCGGCCGTCGGCAGCGACCTGTCGTCCCCCACCAGCGAAGCCAACAGCGAATTGAGCGACAAATTGAATCAAATGAAAGTGAATAGTCGAGAGCACCGGGCGATGATGAGTAGGCAGTGCTCGCAGTTGCATAAAACCCGGGCCAAAGCCAAAGTCGTAGACCTGAGAGCGGGTGACAGCGACGAGTCGCTGGTCTCGCGTATAATTAGTAAGTCTTTTGTCGCCTTTTTTTGGTTTTATTTTATTTTTGTTTTACTTCTCTCTCTCTCTCTTGGTGGGCCTGACGGCACCGGTAGGATTGACGGCACTGGTAGCCTCCCTGGGCTGCTCAGGGCACTCGCTCTTACTCTCTCTCTTTCTCGTTAATACCTTTCACTTCATACACTCATTACGTTAATTAATGCCTGGTCTCTGCCAATTGCCTATCAGTGCGCTCTCACTCTCTCGCCTACCAGTGCTCTCCTTATGCCTTGACGTGACTTCTTATACACAACTAATTGTGTTTAACTCTCATCACCGAAAACCTAACGCTAAGAATAGGCAGAGGTTTTCATATCATATCTCTAATCATAGCTCACATCATAAACTGGTCTATTGTTAGCATCCCTTTCCCCCCTACCCCCATAGTTGCCCTGATTATATTGAGTTGTATTATATTGGTGTGTAAAACATGCAAATCATTGCCATTTAACTCTATATAAGAATCGATTAATTCGTCCAAAAATTTTGTTTTTCGACAGAATATATATACAGAATATTCTGTGATATGAAGTGAATATCGGTTTTCCGATCAATACTTTCCATTCTCTATATTATAAGAGTATTGTAATCGAAAAATGTTTGTCCAATCGGTTTGCCAGCTATAAACTAGTATAAAATAAATTTTTATTTGTCATTAATATCTCATTTACATCGGAGTTTTGACAACAAAAGCAACGTATAGTCTCTGATTTGAACGCAAAGTTTGTTTTTTGTTACTATTTTTGTTGCAATTAAATCGATATATATTTTGCATAACAAATCGCAATCAATCAGTCAAACGGGAAAAATTCTGTGCAATCACCGCAGCCGTGTCAGCACCAGTACCCCAAAGACTGTCCTAAAAATGCCTATAATTATACGACCGGTAATTATGACATATATTTTTCATAACCTTTTCTTTCTCTCTCTCTCCCTATCCATCGCTTAACCAAAACCACTCAAACACTCATCAAATTCATCATCAATTGAAACAAAACTAATAAAAAAAACTCTTAATATTAATAACTATACCTAAAAACCCCACAACACATACATGTGCCCCCAAACAAAACATACCTAGATAAACGGTATGTGTTTGAGTCCGACGACAGGTAAACAACAGCAACAGAGTGCCGGTGCGCCCGGCGGTGGCGGCGGCGCCCCGGGAAACACGAGCATAGCTACCGGCGCTGTGGCCAAAAAGCAGATTACGCCCGAAATGAAACGATCTCGCTCACAAGGTACCAGAAATAAGTTGCAAAAAATGCATACCATTCAGA